GTGCCCTCCACTGCCCGGCACGGCACGGCGCGGGGCCTGCCTCTCAAGGAAGTCCTGGAGTACGTCATCCCAGAGCTGAGCATCCCATGTCTGCGCCAGGCGTCGAGCTCACCCAAGGTCTCGGAGCAGCTGCTCAAGCTCGATGAGCAAGGGGTGTGTATGCTGCGTGAGGCGGGTCTGTGCCTGCTCCACGGTAGAGGAAGGTCTCCCATCCGTCTTTCTGTTAACATCATGTATTTTTAATGCCTCGAAGCATTTTGTCTCTAGTTTTCCCCCAGTACGCCTATCTACTAATTAAGAAACACGATGCCTTCACCGTGTAAGCACTGCCGCTGAGATGTCACTTGTCTGGTTTTTACCAGGGTTTGGTAAGTCCCAGCTAGCAGGGACACATCTGACTCAGGACCATTAAGGAGTCGGTGGTATTTTTCCCCAGGGTTTAAAAACCTCACGTCAACCCCCTCCCTGAACTAAGGTTTATTCTTGTCTGCTGTGTGCGGGCCTCGTGCTACCAGATGGACATGGCACGTGCAGTAGGAAGACTGAAGCTAAGACCTAGTCCCCAGTCCACAGGGACAGTAAGACCAAGAGCACAGAGGCCCCTGCGAGGCAGACTGTGGCAGTGGCTCCTGGAGACGTGGAGATGCAGAGGGCGCTTTGGGAAAGAAGAGAGAACCTCTGGCAGGGCCGGGCCCTGACGGAGCTGGTGCTGTAGCTGGGCCTTCACACTTGGGTACAATTCCAGGAGGGAGATATGAGTAGCTGGCTGTTTCAGGAGCTGTGACTTGTTTCTTTAAAAGAAAAGGGCACACACAGGGAGGTTGGGAGTTTTAAAACAAAGATGTTGAGGCTAGTGCTTGATTCAGGAGGCAGTGGGGAGTCATTGAAGGTTTTCCAGCAGCCATGTATTTTAGGAAGATTGTTCTGGTAGAAGGCTGATGAAGATGGAGGCCGGTGGTGGCCTGGAGCTCAGTTAGTGACTGTCGCCATCGTCCAGGGGAGAGGTAATGACGGATGGGATGGTGGGCCAGAAGATGGAACGAGGGCTTTTAAATTTCGTATACAAGACAACTTGTAGGGGAAACTGACAGGTAGGTACCCAAGTATATGCATTTTATTTTAAATGCGTGTATTTGTTTTCAAATACATGCTTTAAAAAATACAGTAGCAATGTATATTTCCAGGGTTCCCCAAGGAAAATTCTGTTGCATGTTTTTGAGCGAACGTGAGGTATTTCTTGGTTGATCCAGTAATACCGACTGGTGTACTGATGGGCTACTCGATACTCACACGGCTGAGACTTAAAAGTGACCGGATTGTAACTGGTTACACTTACGGTCTCAGGTTAACTCTGCGGATAGGTCAGAGGACACAGGACTCAGCATGACTAGTGCTGCCATGTCCATCTCCAGAGTGAAGGCTGGCATAGTAACAACACCTGAACCAAACCAAACTCTGGGCTTGAGCAGATGACTACTAACATTGTAGGACGCACCCAGCAGTTTTACCATGACAGGTTCTGGTAAACCGTGCAGAACGTCCACGTGCCCATGAAACAGCTGAGAGAAGCATGTTACCACGGAGGGGAGAGGGCGTGGGTGCTAGCTCAACACTCAGGGTTCAAGTGTGTGGATGAGAAGAACACCAGTCATTGTCATTGTCATGTCACGGGTGAGTCTCTAAAGAGAACCCGCCACCCACGTGGTCCTTCTGTCCCCCTGTGTTTCTAGTATACACTGGTTCTTCCTTAAAACCTGTCCCTGCGCTTGCCCAGACCAGGTGCCTGGTGCATGAGGTATTCGGTCCCCTCAGGCTGCTGTGGAAAGTTCCAGAGGTGGCCCATTTCCCCAAGCCTGAGTCCTGAAGTCCCTGAGGCCCCGAGGGACATTGCAGCAGCTCCAGGTGACTGCTCCTCGCAGAATGAAGCGGTGTTGGGATGTTTGTGCAGCAGAATAGGTCCCCGAGCTCTGCCGGCCGTTTGTTTAAATGAAGTGCTTTAGGTACTTTTAACGAACACCTGTTTACACTCTGGTGTCAAGGAGTTCACTTTGAATATCGGGTTCTGCTTTCAAGCAAACCGATGCGCATTATATACATCTAGTTGTAGTTCATGTGGTTGTTTTCTCTTGAGATGGTATTTGTTTGATTTTGATATACTTTCTTAATGGTGTATAATGTGGCATTTTTAACTCCCCATAACTCTTGAGTGGTATCTGATTGCCATGTTACCTGAAGAAGATGCTCTTTCTTTTCATTTTTAAAAGAGATTGAACAGCTTTCTTAACATCCCAGTTTGTAAAGGATCCTTGAGGCCCCACTAACCTATATTCCTGGCAGTGCCATTTTATCCTTTTTCCTGGTAGTAAATCCACCCAGGAAGGGGTCAGGCCAATTTTATGGTACTGTTTTTAATGGTTTTTAACCTTGGAAACATATTTAAAGGATATACTGTCAGCTTTTGCTTTCTTGGAGTTTGTAATCCATCCTGGTGTCATTGGTACATCTGCTGTGGCCAAGACACATTGTCATAGTGGAGGATTCGGGGGTACTCAGATCATGCACACCATTCCTTATGTCTGCGGAGCTGTTTTGAGCAGGAAGTCTCCATGCTGTGGAAAATTACAGGGAAAATGATTATTTAGCATCTTTATATTAATTCACTTCTCAACTTATAAAATTCCATTTTTTAATAGACTATGCTAATTTATGTAACAGGTGAGTTCATAAAATGCTACAGGTTGGCTTTTAAAACATTATAATTCAGATAACTTATGACAGCTCACTATCTTAGAATATTATGGCATCTGTGGCAGAGTGACTGATTTGCCTTTACGACTGCCCTCTTCTCTTATCCCTTCACTCCAGATATACGAGGTGTGACAACTAAGGTCATGAACTTGTTGCAACGATGTTGCTAACCTTTTTTTTGATATCAGAGGGATTATTCATTATGAATTTGTACCAACTGGACAGTTAACTAAGTTTACTATTTGGAAGTGCTGAAAAGGCTGTGTGAAAAAGTTAGACGACCTGAACTTTTTACCTCCAGCTCATGGCTTTTGCATCACAACAATGCACCAGTTCACACGGCACTGTCTGTGAGGGAGTTTTTAGCCAGTAAACAAATAACTGTATTGGAACACCCTCCTTATTCACCTGATCTGGCCCCCAACGACTACTTTCTTTATCCGAAGATAAAGGAAATAATGAAAGGAAGACATTTTGATGACATTCAGAACATCAAGGGTAATATGACAACAGCTCTGATGGCCATTCCAGAAAAAGAGTTCCAAAATTGCTTTAAAGGGTAGACTAGGCACTGGTGATGGTGCATAGCTTCCCAGGGGAGTACAGTAATTCCTTGGTTTGCGAGCATAATTCGTTCAGGAAACAAACTACTCATATTGCAAGACATCGCTCACTTACCAGGTTAAAATGTATTAGAAATGTTTGCTCTTCTTGCAGAACACTCGCAAACCACGTTACTCACAACCCAAGGTTTTACTGTACTTTGAAGGTGACTGTGTGATATTCATCAATGAGGCATGTAGCACTTTTTCTAGGATGAGTTCACAAACTTAATTGTCAGTCCTCGTAGATGTTTACTTACATGTTGGTTGGCTTCAGAGGAAGTCCAGCAGATCTCAGGAATGAGACTGTGCTTGGAACAAGTAGTGAGCTGGGAGACTGTAGTGGAAGGGCTTTCCTTCACACTCGGATTTATGAGGCAATTCTGAGGCTTTTTTTTGTCAATTTTATTTAAGTTTAAATTTTCTTGTCAATAATGATAAGACTCCTGGCCTTGGGAATGAAACAGTCAGTTTTTTTCCTCATCCCTGGAAGCAAAGGAGACATGTGCTGCACTGTCTATGCAGTTTGTCTGTACGTCCAGGTGTCAACACTGAAGTGGTGTGGAATTTTGACAAGCGAATGATTTGTCAGATGAACAGTCCGGTTCCCCTGCCAGCCTGGCTCCACCCCAGGGCTGTGGGACTGACTATAATTCACGTCAGATGGCTTAGATAAACGTCAGTGAAATGGTGGGTGATTTAAAGGGCATAGAGAACTGGGAATTTGGGGGCCTGGGGAGCTGGAGTCTCCCTTCTTTGTGTCATGAGTGTGTCGCTCGCTCTCTGATGTACCCCAGGAGGCACAGTAGTTGGTGTGACATTTCAGTTGTTTTCGCGAGGTTTATAAGAGACTCAGGTAAGAGCTGTCTTTTCACCAGATGTTTCATTCCATTATCATTTTAGTGGAATTGCAACCACATTGGTAAACCATCCACAATTGTTTGCTCTGAGTCATGGGACATTAGTCCTCTCTCCTGAGTTCCTCACCTTGCACCCTGATCCAAGAGGCCAAGTTAGTGTGTGTCTGTGAGCAGTGAACTTGTGTGGTGCCCGTGCTGGGCCACTCCGTGTGCATGTGCATATGTGTGTGCATGTGTGTGTGTGTGTGTCCGGGCATTTTCACTGAAGCCAGAGCTCCGGCCATTGTCAACCCTCCTGGGGGTTTTGAAGTCTATTTTAGCCACATTCCGTAATTCTCATGGGCCCAGTGGCTTCTTGGATGGAAATGCAGGTCCTGCTCATCATCCGGATATAGACACAGGCCGGACTGCCTGACAGCTGGGAGGAGAAGGGTGTGAGGTGGACAGCACTGCAGTCAGCAGAGAAATCCCGGGGAGAGCCTCTGTCCTATGGGTGCAGCTGACCTTGCACACACAGCTGCCAGGGGCACTGACCCCCACACAGTCGAACATCTGAGTATAACTTTTGACTCCATGGAAACTTAGCTTACTAATAACCTAATGTTTACTGGAAGCCTTACTGATAACATGAACAGTCGAGTTACACATGGTTTGTATGTTACATGTATTAAACAATGTATTCTCCTAGTACAGTAAGCTAGAGGAAAGAAAACGTTATTAAGAAAACCAGAAGGAAGAGAAAATACATTTATAGGACTGTGTGTACTTACTGAAAACAATCCGCTTATAAGTGGACCCGCATAGTTCAAACCTTTGTGTTCAGGGCTCAGCCGTATTTGGCCGTGGCCTGAACAAGAGTCCACAGGACTATATCAAGTCCAGCAGTCGCAGAGAGAAGTGTGCCAGTCCAGGGAGGGCTCTGCTTACCCAGCATGAGGCCGTGCCGGCTCAAGCCCTGTCCCCAGACAGCTCTGCTCTGGGCCTTATCCCCACCTTAGTGGGTGTGAGAGGAGGGAGGGGTTTCCTGCTGGAGTGCCAGGGCACAGACTGGGACAAGCTCAGATGTGGTTGGGGCATTGGAGGCAGGGTGGCACAAGATGAGGCCATACGGCATTGGCACATGGCCCTGGCAGTGCTCTGAGGTGAGAAGCAGGTAGAGAGAGGGGCAGGAAATGGGCAGACAGGGATGGCAGCACAGGACCGAGTGAGCCCCAAGGACACAGATGATGGTGTGGCAGTCACTGCTGGGGCAGAGAGAGCAGCGGGTGCCAGGACGCATGGCATCCGGGGCCTGTGGCTCTGGGGTTATAGCCAGTGCACATCATTGCACAGTATTCCTGGTGGACTCCCCTTAAGGCCAGCACCACATAACTGGAGAGAGCTGCTCTTCTTCAGCGAAGGAGCAGGCAAACTACCACAGCACAGGGATACCAAGCAGTCGTTCTGAGGCATAGACCGTGACAATCACCGAGGTCATTGCCCTTCGTGGTGATCACTGCTAAATCACGAGTGTCTCCCTAATGTGCTTTCAGATCCCAAAAAGTCTTCTGAGTCACTAGGGGCAGTTAATGTCAGCCATGAAATAATCTCAGGCATTTTTATTATATACTGAGTAGTTTTTGACGGTGATGGTCCATTTGCACGAATGTGGCATCTCATTTATTTGGAGAGTTGAGTCGATGGAAACATTTATTCCTCGATGGTGGGTGAATGGCAGCGTTTTCCTTGCCCCACAGAAGACCTGGGTCAGTGCAGTTCACAACACTGGGTGTTAAATGGCTCACGCACAGCGTCTCACGCCCACGCAGGGTGCCCTCTTGTCTTCACTGTGAGGCAGGTACCCGTGCCGTCCCCCACACGTGGGGCCGTCATTCAGGCAGACTGGACAGGCCATGCCTCCTCTTCTACCCCCCGCAGCACGTAGTCAAGGTCACATCCGTTCAGAACGTTTTCGTGGTTGACGCTACCTGCTCAGCTCTGAATTTACTCTAGCACAATGTGCTGTTTTGTAGATTCCTCGAGCAGGTGTCTGCCTGCCTTTCTCGGATTGTATGTTGTCATTAGGTAATGGAGATGAGACTGCTCTTATCACTCTGTCACTCACGGGAAATGAGTATCATTTTGCCTAATTTTACTGATATAGTCAGCTATGAATTTTGATTAAGGGTTCTATTTTACAGCTTGATCATGAAAGTGAGCAGCTCTATGGGTTGACGCCTTTAGGGAATGAGTGATGTCTGATAATCTGTCAGGTTGCCGAGGCTCAGATTGCTGGTAGTAAGATTAAGTGCTCTGATTTCATGAGTGAGAAGTAGTTCCTCTTTGGGGAAAATACGAAAGCTGTCAAGATGGGTCTGGTTTCTAACCAGCCGTGGGAGAAGGCCGTCCTGCGGCCTCCAGCCTGGTGTGGGGCTGCCTGTGAGATGTGGTTACCGCAGGGACCCTTCAGTTGCTATTAAAATGCTTTATGGTCCATTGTGTATATAGCAGATGTTTTCTTATCAAGATAGTCAAAACTGTAGAAATGAGTGTAATTGTACCGGCAAAGTTAGTCTTATGGAAACATTATTCTGTTTATGTACAGATGTCACATGTCCATTGGGATTCTTTTCTTACCAGACCTTAATTTGATTTGTTTTTCATTACGGTCTTTCATATTTCATAGTCTCATGAATGTTCAAATAACAGCAACAAAAAGCCCTAGGAATCAAAGAGGGCAAGATTTTAAAAGCCTGTGGCCCTTTCTCTTCCTGACGTGGAAGGTGGTGACCGTTCCTCTGTGGAGGGTAGAATATTAAGCATTCCCACAGCTGTATCTTTTTCAGTGGACACTTAAACTTCTCTGTCCATTTTGGAAACCTGGCAAATCCCACATGGCCACGCTGTGCATATGTTTCTTAAGGCTTCTGCCATCTCTCCAGCCCTATTTTGGGGTCCTGGGATGCATTTGCGGCAGTGTTCCCGGGTCCCAGGATGCGTTTGCGGCAGTTTGCTCAGTGCCAGCTGTTTACTCTTTTGCTATGGGCATTGTCTTGACATCCTTTTCTGAGAACAGAATTCGAAGCTTCTGTTGTTTTAATTTGGCTGGAAGTTAGCTTGGCAGCTATGCGTTGCTGACTAATGCCATTTCTCCTCCGTTTCAGCTGAGCTTTCAGCACAAGGTCGGGATCCTTTATTGCAAAGCCGGCCAGAACACAGAGGAAGAGATGTACAACAATGAGACAGCGGGACCGGCGTTCGAGGAATTCCTTGATCTCCTGGGCCAGAGAGTACGGCTGAAAGGATTCACCAAATACCGAGCTCAGCTAGATAATAAAGGTAAGCTTCACGCCTGTGTGTTGAATACTCCAGAGGTAGTCACGCCGCATAAATTGGAGCGAGCAGTCACATGTCCTGCTGGTCTTGACCCCAGAAACTGCCTCGCCAGCTTATTTGGGATGGAGTTTAGATTTCCTCATATGAGCAAGGGAAGCACTTTTCTCAAGAGGTCTGTGCTTCACATGAGCCCAGAGGTCAGCTCTTCTCCCTTTGTGACACCAGCAGAGAGAGTCCCCAGTGTCTCATGAAGAGCCTTTTCATATTTTCCTCTTTCTTTTAGCCTAACCTCTTCCATTACACCGTCGTGCCAGTGCAGCAAGGACAAGCACTGCGTTCATTTCTAACAGAATAGTAACATGTTCACTCATGCCACGCTCACGGGCTCATTTTGTTCATTTCTGGTTTCTCAATGTTAATTAGGGAGTTGCAGCAGTGACTAAAAAGCTGATGTATTCCATTTTTCAAGGACCGTCAGCAGGACCCCTTGAGTGGCATTGGATTAGCTTTAAGGGGCCAGATTGACTGGCCGATTGAAAACAGGCTTTAAGCCATCCTGTGATATGCGACTTTGTCTTATAGCCTCATTTAGATAATCACCTTCCTTATGGTCTTCATAAATTCTAAATAGCATGGCTTTGCATTTGTGCTGTTATTTAGTTGCTGTCAGCACCTAAAATACCAGGCAGAGTAATTTTGTGTATTTTGGAAAATTCTGCTTATTACCACATGATTAATTGCTAGCTCTTTTAATGAGATGAGCAGATAGATTATAAAGTTGAAGGGTTTGGGAGAACCTCTAGTCCACTCCTAGTAGGAAGGGTGAAGGACCTTTGGCTGGGGGAGGGTTAGTGTGTGGCTGAGCTGGGATTGGGAGCGAGGTGGCCATGTTGCCCCATAGCCCCACCCTAATGTCCAGTCAACCTGGGCCCATCACTGGTCCTCCCCTACATCAGGGTGGTGCCAGGGCTCAATGCACCTGTCCTCCCTTCTGGCTTTTTTATCTGTTTGGGAAAGTTACACTGACAGACAGTGTTAGCTCACATGTGGGCCCCTGCGTGTTCTGCACACCTGCCAGGGCTGGTATTTGACTGTTGTGTTGAATGCATGTTGCTCATGCCTCAGATCCATAAAGGTAAGGAAAGAATTCCTGGCACCACTGGGAATATCCACATATTTTAAGGAAGTTCAGTGGGACCTTTCCTGGGCTTTCTTCTGTTTTCTTGGCAAAGTTCTTATCTACAAACCACCACCCATTTCCTGGAGGTGCTGGCATGCTGCCCTTAGGGATGTGTGTCCTGGAAAGCCACCCCTGACAAGGAATCATTGCCGTTCATGCTTGTCTTCCCTGTTCAATGGGATGGGTTGAGGGAACAATTTAAGAACTTCTGATCTGTACATTCTATAAAGTACAACATAGATAATGCAAATATTTTCCTATGTGTGGAATTGACATTAATTTTGAACTTCTATAACCTAGGAGATGCCCTTGATACATTATAGATGCGTACTAAGCGTCTTAGCTCAAGGAAATGATAATATAAGAACGAGATCGTGACCTATTGATTTCAAATAATCAACAAACCTTTAACTTATTTTTATGAGCAAGGCCTTCTGTGAGATGCAGAGGAGTCTGAGACATTCCTTTAGTAGAGAGGAGGTTTCTAAAAATCATGTTTCATGGAATAGTCTAAAGATTATGTCTTTCTCAGAACAAACAAAATAAATCGTCTTAAATTCAGGAGAATTGTGTTTCAGTTTTAACGCCTCGATCAAATCTGGGTCTCGTTTTCTTCACGAGGGACATCCAGAGCGTTCAGGCTGGAGTATCTGGGGTGTCCCTTCCAGCTTTAAAGTGGGTTTCTCTCGTGAGCACACAATGAGATGGACCAGGAACGGGGGACAGGAGCTGCTAAGAT